GTCAACATGCGATCTTTATAGTCCTTAAATTCTAACATATTCTTTCCTCGATAGTAATCCTTAATCTCCAATCTCGGCGGTGTTTCGTTATCATCATCCATATCATCTACGGGTCGATTTTGCGGCGGTTCTGCGGCGATATCCGGGGTTGGTCGGGACTCGATAAAAGTATCTTCGCGAATCTGTGCTTCCAACTCGTTGAGGCGTTGTTGCGCGTGCAGAATAGCTAACTGTTGCTCTCGTTCACGGATTTGATCGTTTAACTGTTGCAATCGGGCATTGTGGTCGTCGGAGGTGGTAGAGGATTCGGGTTGGTTCCCAAGGGATCTTGCGCGTGTCGAAACCATCTTGCGTGTTTTAAGTTGCGTGTTTTAACTAACGTTGCGTGTTTTGTTGTAGGTGTGCGTAACAACGGACCACTCAAATAAGGTTTAGAGCGATTAGAATTGTAAGAGATGGGCTACAAGAGTAATTACAAGAGTAGTGTGAAGTACGCACAAAGGATATTAAGAAGGTAGCAATCTCTATTGTTCAAAGCTAATCGCTGATTTCCTAAAATCCACGGATATCAGCGAGCATTATATAGATAATATTGCCATCGCCACGTATCTATCGCCACGTATCTATTTCCTAATATAGATATCTCCGTTGCGCCTATTACAGTTGCACTCCATCTCCTCTATCTCAATCCGGGGGTTTCAGAGCAGGTTCCCCAGGCCGCTTCAGTGCTCATCATTCAGTGAATCATACTTCAAATCATCAGCTGAGTTGTATCACTTCAGAATTGCTTATTGAAGTGTCTCAGCTTTGACAGCTATCTCTTCTATGATCTGATTCTCAATCATCAAAGGGGGTACTCTGAGGTTGAGTTTCAATTTATATCATGCCATCACCCGGTACAGATCTCTACCATCTCTGACCTCATTGATCATTTGTCTTCAGTATGCACACTTAGCCCTGCGCACTGCATTCTTGAACTGATGCTTCGCGGCCTCTGTCTGATGAGTGATGAGCTCTCAGTGTGCTCTTTAACAGTTTGCTGTTCATCAGAGAGCTGTGGTCTGCTCTTGTTGAGCTGGCTTACTGACTGCCTGAGCTGTAGTCAGAAGACTCTGAGTGAAGTGCTGAGTCAGATTATTAAACTGTACCACATTTCCAACCCTCTGTGAGCAAGACATGTCCACTATGAGACCTCTGATAAAATCTGCAAAAGACTTCAGCTGAGAGTCTGTGATCATGATTCAAGCATCACTCAGCTGTGTTTGAGATGTTGTTGACAGTATAATGACTATAAACTGATAATCTGAGCCACAATGTAGATCTTGACACATTGTAGTGGAAGCAAAGATCACATTGAAGAAAGTGAGATCAATCATATGATCTGCTGCATGAATTAAAACCTCTATCTTTCCCACAAAGTCCATCCCATGTTCACTGACTCATTGAACAAGCTCCCCACCCCGGTGCAGATTCACTGCCCCTGGTTCAAAAGCATCATACTATATGTTGATATCCTTATCTATCAGACAGAGGGCTGGTGGGCTCAGATTGATCAGATAGTTCATGATTGTGTTTATTTCAGACTATCTGTATACATTGAGAATGTGGCAGTCATTTATACTGATTTATAGCAGATCTCTGCTTTGCACAGATTGATATTACTATGCTCTTGTCTTTAAGCTCTTGTGTACATATGTTATGATTCAGAGCCTCTCCTCCTCTCGCTGCTCCGGGTTAATATCATTTCAGTGGTTTATAGACACAAAACACTCATATACTGAGTGGTTAAAAGTCTTAATACCAGGGTGTGTATATGATTTTTATATACAAATCACTTTACAGCTCTGCTTAAAAGCAAGCTGTAAAGCTGCTATGTAATAGAGAGCTGCTATGACTGTATTTTACTCAGAAGATTTGCAAAGAGTGATTTTTCTGCTGATTGTTTCTGCAACATTAGCTCTGTTGCTGATGTTGATATTTTAATATAAGAAATCATTTGATGAGTTGCTGCTGAAGTTCATCTGCAGAATAAGATTGAAGGCTTTCAAACTTGTCATCTGCATGCTGAAATCAAACTGTTCTTTAACTGCTTGGCTGTGCTGCTGCATTGCTGTGTGAATTGAGTGTTGTCTGATGTGAGTCATCTGCTAGATGACACCTTCCTCACTGATGGAACTCTGAGTCACCACCCACTTATAGAGTGCTAGCTCAGTGGGCTGTGTTGACTGAGTTGACCGAGCAGTTGATGTAGATACCATCACTGCCAATCAT